CTGCTGGGCAGGTAGGGAAAAAGGCTCAGCCCAGCGGTGGGACATGTAATGTCGAGCTGCAGTGAGCCTTGGGGCACAAAGCCCAGCCTGCAGCGGCAGCTACCTCCACTGTGCACAGATGGGGAGGCACATGCTCCCCCCGACAAATGCCAGGCAGTATAGGCAGCTGCAGCAGCTGAGAGAGGATGGGAATGGGGCTGGAGCAGGGACAGGTCCTGCACAGTTGCTTGTGGGATGGAGCCATGAGCTGCTTACCTGGAGGTTGTAGGGAGGTAGGGCATGCACCCTAGGAGGGCACAGGAATCATGCACCCCTGGATCAGCACGCCAGCTGGGCCAGCTACTGCTGCACGCTAAGTCTGGGGTGGGCTGGGCAATGTAAAAACCCTGCTAGGAGCAGGGTTACGTGGGGGGGCTGCAGGCACCTGAAAATTTGCCATAGCTCCCCCTTCCCAGTGCTGCTACTGCCCAGGGCCTGACCACAGCGCAATGTAGCCCAGCATGGTGCTGCCTTCCCCTTCCCCCGGGGATCTGTCCCTGCCCCACTTCCTCCGTCACCTTGGGGGCCTTGATCTTCCTCTCCCCCCCACACACACACACCCCTTCCCTTTCCCACACTCCTTCTTACCCCCTGGACGTACCAGCAGGAGGCTTCTCTCCAAGCTGCTGCGCTGCATATCGGATCCATATCAGCCACTATACCTAGTTAATAGTTGGCCATCAGTATCAGCCAAAAATTTTTATGTGTGCACCCCTGTTTTCAAGTTTGATAGTGAATCATTGATAACAGTTCTTTGACAACAGTATTCCACTAATTTTTGCACCCATGTAAAACATGTAAACTGTATTTCCTTGGTTTTGTTCTGTGAGTATCTGATGGAAGAGTGCCAAAAGCTTTATTAAAGTCAAGGAATAATCGCATGAACTGCTTTACCCTTGTGCACTAGGCTACCTAACATTCTATACAAGTAGGATAGATTTGTCTGATGTGCTTGATTTTTGAGAAGCCTATGCTAGATGCTTTTACCACCTAATTGTGCTTTAGGTACTTACAAATGCATTAGGGGTAAAACATAGATCATTGGCTTAAAAAACCCAAAAGGG